TATTGACATGAAGAGTACAATAAAAACGAATGACTATGTGTTAGTCTCTATGTGTGCACGTATGTAGGGCGCCGTTGGGTCAGGCTTATAAGCATGTCGATACAATTATGTATCGAAATTGCTTTGGGAACCKTGCAGTATTGGTTGTGACGGGGATATGAAACGGAGAATATGAAATATGGTTGTGTTAAGTAGAATTTATAATTCTCGGTGTGGTAATAAGATATGAGGTCGCCTGTTGTTGTTGTGTAAGCTCTTAATATCAATGCTTGCAATTTTTAATGRGTGACAATGAGAACTACATACTAGTATAAAAACTTATTACATGTACACTAGACACAATAATTGAGGTTAAGCAGAGAAAAAGTTGCATCAGATTTTTATGGAGAAAATATTAAAGTAGATAAAAGTAAATAAAATATTATTTATTCTTCAAAATGTATGCCGTTCCCCTCAATTTGATCCCCCTTGGCCACAATATACTTGTGCTCATGTGTTTTTTAATCCTCGAAATAGTTGTTAWAGTCAATTTCCGGAATGGTATTCAATGCGCTTATCGATTCATGTTTAATRTCTTCAATGGACTCAAAACAGTTTCCCCGGAGTGGCCAAAAGTCACACGGAGCGATATTGTWGGAAAATTGGCAACGGTGTATTGTCGTGGTGCAAGAACGAGGAGCCGTTGGCTCATGATTCCGGCATCTTTTAACGAATACCATCGCCCAAATGACGCATAACACTCAAATACTATCCCTYGTTGACAGTTTGGCAGGTCGGAAGGAGTTTGGAGTACACGACAACTAATCTAAGAAAACTGTCAACATAGCCCTGATTTTTRACCWRYTYTGACGTKTTTCKTSGGCTTCGGCTCGTATATGCCACCATATTAATATTGTGTAATTTTCTTAACACCAGCGGTACCTAGCGAAACTTACTAATTTTTTCACCTCAGAGGATTTTAATTATTTCTTGTTCGAATTTCAAAACAACTTTCAGATAAGAAATGACCCCTTCACCAAGACGCGTAAATAAGTGTTTTTTTTTTTTGTGGCAAATCGCAAAAGCCACTTTGCCATTTTTTTTGGAATTTGTCAAATATTAATTCAAAATAATCATTTAAAAAAAACTTAGAAAAATCGCTTAGAATTTTCACACACTTATATCAAAATGTATCTAACATTAAACCGATGCCCTTTCGTCGACCAACCCTACACTCAGCTCCTCCTTGTATGCCACAGAACTCCTGCGAACTGTGTTCTTTGCGCTTTTCCCCCAAATGTATGCAACCTAAGCGCCACTTGGTGCCTGCGACCTGCAAAGCCGCACAAGTGTCAATAGCATGTCGCATTGCATTAGCTTCCGACGACAGAACAGTCTGTGGAGTGTTTGCGTGTGCGGCAACGTAAAATATCGCATTGCATTGAAGTGGATCGAAATGACATCAAATCGCAAAGCATCGGCGGCGACAACGTCAGCGTTGACAACAGCAATGACATAACATCAATGACAACGACCAAAGGCTGCACTCACAGCACCAACGGTCACACAACACACTCCGATACACACACACTGCATTCGAGGAAGTCAATCGTCATTTCCCAGCACTGGGATGTCATATTTTAGTATGCGGCTTGTGTTGGTTGTGGGATTGTAATAACAATGGCAGGGTCTTAGCTCGTTTCGCCGAGCGATTGACATTCGAGCAGCGAAGAGCATACTTTAATTCCAGTTACTGCTCCGGCCAACTACAGCACAAGCACGTATGCATGTATGCGTGCCTTGTMGTTCTGTGCGCGCGCTTCGGACCTGCCACCTGCACTTGAGCGAGCAGCGGAGTGCCACCATCCAATCAACGCCAACGACGACATTGTCAACGACGTCGTGAATGTCGATATTGAAGTCGTTGCTGCTGTCGTTCTTTGTCGTCGTCAGCGTCATCGTTGAACACTTGATACTTCCGCACGGAAGTGCAGCRTGTCTTCCCCGTGCCCTCGAGCTCTCGAGCTTATGAGTGCAGTTGTGTTCTTCATTTCGATTCTCCCTCTTGTACTTAGATTGTTGTGTTTATGAATTCCTCCTTCTATGCCATGGCGCACACACACTCGTACGATGCCTGCAACTCCTTCGACTCATGGCACTCATGTAGATTTATATTTTTATTTTCGCCCTTTACACTTTTCATTATTTGTTAGGTATTCGTAACTTGTTTTGCTTCGGTCCTCCAGTCCTCTATTCCTTGCCTTGCCACAATGACTCTTCACTTGGTGTTAATGATTGCTTTGGATGTCCACCGGAATGGCAATTCGGACCTTTATGCTTACTTAACATGCACTCCACTTCATGCTGTAATGATTAAGCATTCGCTGTAATTCTCAAATGGTTCAAAAATCTGAACGCATRTATGTATGTTTTGTGGACCCAACATTCCTCCACTGTGAATGGTGGTTAGTGCTTGTCGGAATTTAGKTGCGTCCGCAGTCTGGTCGGCGTATTGTCTTATATCGYCGACGAAGTTAAGRACGAACCTCTTGATGCAGGCGGTACGGCTCCAAGCAGGTGACCGCAGGGATGATTTTTGCGAAAGTACCCCAGSAAGAACAGCTTGGAAAGCAGTTCATTATGATTTTTTATTGAGAGCATACGGGCCTCACTATGTGTGTGTTCAATAGGAAGCATCAAGAGGCATTCAGTCGTAGTCCGAAGTGCTTTATTTTGACAAGTCTGGAGCCTCATCGCCTACGTTTCACTGGTGCGCCGAAGTTAGGGACCATCCGTCCGATTGCCTTGTAAGTTGCCAACTGCCTTTCTTTGTCCCTTTTCCATGTACTGCCAGCAAGAGACTTGACAATTTTGTTGTGGCTGTGTACATTACGCGGCCGTATGAGGAGTAAAGGAACACAGACTTTCAAAAAGTCATTATTATTGGCAATCGGTATATTAACACCATCGACTACACCCTTTTGTAAGTATGGTATTGGTGGATTTAGTGGGGAGAGTGTTAAGTTCCGTGCAGCGAGGAAGCGAGAAAGGTCGGAGAGATAGCCATAAAGAAGTTAAACAGTAGCGTAGAGAGGACAACACCCTGCGGAACCCCTTGTTTATCTTCTMAGTATTGAGTTTTTGCCTGAAATAGTAMGGATGATTGACGGTCGCTCRGGTAGTTCATGGTCCACCTCTTCAGTCTTGGAGGAAGCGTAGTTTTATTCGATGTCCTCCAGTAGCTTTGTGGGACTGTGTGACATAGATATARTATATAACATAGATATAATATGTATATGACAGTCATAATATAGCTTACTGCTACAGTTTAAATTTATCTTATTTCTTTAACACAACTGCCCACAACAGAAGTCAAATAATAACTTAAGCTTCTACTATACAAAAATTTTTATTTTCTATTTTGCTGTCACTTATGTCTATTGCTAGTCTGTCAGTCAGTTTTGCCAACACATAGGCCTTTGATAACCACCATGTTTTTGTTACGCTCGTTGATACGCCTTGGCTTCACACCCYTTCCACAATTTTCATTAGTCGCTATGGTGCTTGGCTTTTGTCCGCAGGCTTTTCGGTCCGCATTCAGTTGCTCAATCAAAATTTGCACGAACACTTCCTCTCCCAAAAATGTTTATAGCTGCRTTAGACAAGCTTTCACTCGCTGCTCTATGCATGGGTATGTGTACTTTTGGCCTGCGGGAAATTCAAATATCATGCTGATTTTGGCATTTTACTAGGAAAATGATTCATGAATAATATTCTGCTCTATAAAACTGTCAGCTTTGCCATAGTGCAGTTCAATTTTAATATATTTTGGAATTTAACAGTTCCTTTTTATTAGACCACAAAGCTTAGCCAGCATGCTGGTGATAAGTTGTGAGAAAAAAAAACAATATTTTGAATGGTTCAAAGATTGAATGGTTGGCAAAGGCATAAATACATGAGTGTGTGTGTTATGAAATTGAAAAGCAAAATTTGTGTGAATGATATTTCAAAAAGGGCTTCCAAATGCTTGATTTTGTGTAATCAAACACTGAAGCATCGTAGACATTGATTGAGGTCCACAAATAACCACAAAATCCTCGTGATAACATTTTGATATGTCAAAAAGCAGCAAACGGATGGAAGAGGTCATGAGAATCTATAAATGTTTACAGCTTGCAAATGACAGTTTTTTGAGCTTGAAACATAACTATAGGCTTCACTCTTCTAGTTCTCACATCCATATGGCAGCGGATACGATATAGTACTGCTTTTCCCCGTCAATTCGAAACACCAAGCAAAGMTTCCCCTGATCTCTCTATCTCTTACTTTCTACTTCCTCTTTTTGTATATCTTTAGCACTGACACTCTCCGTAAATGTTCTAATATGCTCAGAGTTGAGATTTAATCTTAGCTAAGTAAGCTATAAGAAGAACTAAGCTGTATCTATGTGGTCATAAAGCTTGTTCAGTCTTCAACTCACTTTGTGTGGTTTAAGCCGTGGCCGGTATTAAAGCCTTTCTTTTAKCCACATACATTATTTGTTGGAACACACATATTGAGAGACTTCCAAGGAAAAATTTTGTTTATCGAGAAGGAATTTTACAGACTGTGAGGTTTAATTTTGTTGCCTGATATGAGTATATCAGCTAAAATGCAAAATAACGTAAATTTCCCTTTCCATAAGTTTGCAGGTGCAGGAAAAGCGATATAATAGAAGCCACTCATATTGAAACAAAATTTGAGTTTCGGTTATAAAATGGTTATATATTGGTTACATATCGGTTATCTATTGGTTATATCTAAGATTTTTTTTTTCAAGTTCAACAAATTCTTTTTAGTCTTAAAGCCGGGCAAATGGATTTCAGCGATTTAAATAATAGTACAAAGTGATATAAGAATTTGTTCATAAAGTCACAAAGCTCTAAAAGATATCTACTCTTTTTTTAACCTAACGAAATCTTCAATGAAAATTGTAATATACCGAAAATTTTCACTAACATATTTTCCTTCTTCGTTTGCAGAAGATGCAGTACACATTACAGCGATACTCGGCGAAGGTGTCATCTTCAATTGTCACGTCGAATTTCCCAATGATCATCCGGTGCCGTATGTCCTACAGTGGGACAAGAAGGTGAGCGAAACGGTACGATATCACAAAAAATATTTCTTCTCTAAACTCTCTTTATTAAAGCGTCCAAAACGTTTTGTTTGTTTACTTTTTTCGATACAAAACCAAAACAACAACGTTTAACAAACATTTTTTGAATGAAAAAAAATAACATTTTTACAAATAAATAAAATAAAAAATATAAACGAAACACTGAGCGTTAAGTAAAATCAAACAAGCACACGTTCATACCAACAAGATACAAAGTAACGACAAACTAGCAGACACAGCGTGTAAAAGACATAAGTAACTACTTGAAAATAAAAAATATTAACAAAAACAAAAAACAAAAACAAAGAAGAACGTACAAACAATTTACATACAAAAGATGTGAAGAGCAARTCAAAAGGGGCGTGTTGAGCAGAAATCAGAAGAAAGTTCAGAAACAAAAAAAAAAAGAAATAGAAATAGAAAAAAGTGCTGCTGTGTGTGTGCTTTTGAAGGCGGTAGAACTTTGTCCCGTTATGCATGAATTTAGCATATAGTTTTGCGCACTATTGTGCGTAGCACGAGCCACTGTAACGCTGCCTTTATACACGCACACAGAAGCAGCAGAAAAAAGCGAAATTTTGCTCATTAGCTCCGCTCAACTGTGAGTATTTAGTATTGGCCATGAACGTAAGCGTTTCCATTGCGTGCAACAACAACAGTAACATTTAACATATAGCATATCTGAGTAAAATAAACAACTGTAAACTGTAAAGTAATGATTTTGTCTATTATTTCAACATAATTACATAAGAATCTCAAATTTCGCCACGTTCAATGATTTTATTTGAAATGTGTTTTTGTTTTGCTGGAATTTGCATTTTCGTATATTCGGTGTTAAAAGTTTATGAAAAATTTTTGAAAAAATGTTGCATACCAAATTATTGGCTGCCTTAGYTAAAGTGTAAATTTGTATGTTTAAATGGAATTATTTTGATTAGTGCTATTTATTTGAGAGCGAAATGCATTGGAATTTCCTGATTGTGCGTTATTTCTTAATTTGTTATGGAAAATTGTGAAAGCAAAATTTATTTCCATTATGCGCTTTTTAAACCATTTTGTTTATAAATATATATATATCTATACATACATACATTTTATACCAGCCTTAATATAAATAAATGCGTTTCTTTCAATACTGGCCCAGGCTAGAATGCAAACTGTATGCATTAGCATATTTGAGCTTCGTTTTACTGCTTTTAGCTCTCGTAATTACCAACACATATACATGTATACTTACTATATATTATACAAACAAATGAAAACAAAGCAAACAAATACATATGCCGGAATGCAA